TAATTGTTTATAACCAAGAAATTTGTTCTGGTCTTCGAAATTCGAAACGATGGACTCATCATCTACCTTCAGTCTCTTTCACTTAAATATCAGGATTAGTTCGCATGAAACAGGGTTTGAACATATGACTTAAGTCACAAGTCCCTCTATCTTTTTTGCCTCTTGAAATAAGCCTTGTGGCCACTAAAAATAATACCTATTTCGTCTTTTATATGCAACCTGCGTAAATCTATACTAGTTTAAGTAATTTATGACTAACTAGACGAGACTTTTGCTTTTCACAGACAAGTAAATAGGCGTAGAGATATCAGAGAAAATATAGAAAGACACTTGCAGTGAATAAACGACAATTTCAAATTGAATTGCTTCTCAGCTTCCGCTAATCATTTAGGGAGCTCCAATGGAGTGAGTATCAGCAGTCTTTCATTTCCTTCATTTCCCAGTCCTTAATCGAACTTACTTCATTTTGCTAAGTTGGGAAACGTTGTTGCATTTGTGCAGTGTATATATTGTGATATTTGTGGTAAAAAAAGAAGAAGGTAAAATTCAGAAGTCTAGCAATGTATTCTTCTAAGTGAATGAGGTCCCCGGCGGAGCTAGCATGTCGATTATGGGTTCAGCCAAACCCACTAATTTTGGTTCAAATCTTATATTTGTCTAAAGAAAGTTATTGCAAATATATAAATTATATTTAGAACTCAGTAATTTAAGAAGGCAAAAATTCTGAATCCATTAGCTTCAAATCTTGACTCCGCCTCTGTGTGGAAACAACGGATATAACAACATAATCATTACCTACATGGTAACGAGATGAACATCTTTGCATGAATCAATACATGCATTTCATATTGTTATGGTTTTAGCTATTGTGAAATGCTATTCAACTTGTTGCTCATTGTTTGTGTTAAAAAAAATAGTTATTTTGTTTGCAATTGAAAATATTTACTGGAAATAAGGGTTCACTAGTTTAATAGGCAAATGATCTAACAGGATTATTGCATTGTTAACTTGAATGCCGTAGAGTGAAGATATTGGGATTAGTTAACTTAATTGCCGGTCGGTAATATATGTTTTGATCTCTCTTTTGTTTGAATACTGATGAAGTCATGTGCTGCGTGAAATAAATTTTTCCAAGGCTCACTCAACAACAACAACAACCCAGTATAATCCCACTAGTGGGGTCTGGGGAGGATAGTGTGTACGCAGACCTTACCCCTACCCTAGGGTAGAGAGGTTGTTTCCAAATAGACCCTCGGCATCCTTCCCTCCAAGAACTCCCCACCTTGCTCTTGGGGTGACTCGAACTCACAACCTCTTGGTTGGAAGTGGAGGTTGCTTACCATCAGACCAATCTTTCCTTGTCACGTATTGTTAATACGTATTGGCATGCTCATGAAGCAGGTCTGCAAGTATGGGCATGATGGTAAATTCGAATGGAGGACCTCAGCGGTATATTCCCTTGGAGTGTTACATCGGGAGAATCAATACAGTTATTCCAACGGAGCTGGGAATAAAATTGGAGCACTCACCCACCAAATGACATTTACACGGCCCAGTTCAAGTGTACCACTTGAAAATTTTCTTCTTAAATTTTTTTTTTTAAAGATCAATTCAGATTAGCCAAAAGGCAAGTTGGAACTACTACAGTGCTACTTTTTCATTTTTTCTTCTTCTTTATCTCTCTTGAATAGAAACAAACAGGCATCAACATGTTATTATTTTCTTTTTATCATTTTGGTATAACATTAAGTTTTCCTTTGAAATTATTCTTAAAGACAGTACTATTATTTTCACTATTTGGTATTATTAATGTTTTCATTAATAAGAATTTTTGCACCAAATAGTGAGATGATTGTCATTTATGGAATAAGTCATTTTCATATCAATAACAAGACATACCTCTAGTATTTCATATCATTTGCTTAAAACAACACGTAAACTACAAGCTTCAGCACTCAAAACAACCACCAAAATCATATCCGCCTTCAATATTTACTGTTTTCTTACATACCTTAATATCCACCAGTCAAAAAAACTAACATTGTCACAAGGTGAAAAACAGTATTGCTAATGCTGGCAGAATTCCAAAATTGATGTAAACAAAAATAGGCACAAAACTCTGGACAACCCAAATGACATGTTCGTTTTAAACAAACAAGACTCAGCTTTCTCCATAGTGGATACAAGAGGTTGAATAGTGAAGAGTCGAGCAGACAATGAATTCACAGAAAGAAAATTACCTTTACTTTCTGTCCAACTTCTTCTTATTGATCCGCTTTCTCTCTTTTGGTCTTGTACATACCACACAACAGGGAAATATTAATCGGATATTAGTATCCTGCATAAGACCAGCATAAAAGTAGCCGAGCTATGACAAATTCTGTTGAATAATGAGGAATAGAGCGAGATGGATATGGAGGATTCATATAGCCGACTACCTAGTGTGAGATTGACGCACAATTGAAGAAGATCAATTCTGCTGCGAATCTCTATCACTTTAAGCACCACTGCAGATCATATGACAACACCTGGAAGTCGATTAGTCGGCGAACATGAAATTTTGTTCAATGCTTGAATCACCAATAGTCCCCACAGGAGCACAAGCCATCCTTAAAATGGTGAAATCTCTTTGCATCTCTGACTACAATTTCCCTATTAACAATCTTGGCAATTAGCTTAATTGTTGTATGACAGTCTCCACATATCCTAAGATTCTTAATCACCTGAATTGTACTACCAGGGACGGAATTCATAATCCCAAAAGCAACAGCGAGCTTCTCACTATGAACTCGTAATGTCAGTCCTTTCTCTTCCTCCTCAACATCATGAAGATCAGATGTCATGTTGGGTACATAGCCAGCTATCTGCAGCTTTACAGATAATTCTTCCAAATATGCATAAATCTTCTCATGTTGAGGGTGTTCTCTATCACCAACAAGAAATGCATGCACCCTGCCTTTGAGTTCAAGCAGGCTGAACCCAGGAGGTTTACTTAATCCACGATTTTTCATAAGTATCCTCATCTTATCTACATCTCCCCACCTCCCAGCATCAGCATATATGTTCGAGAGCAAAACATAATACCCACAGTTTGTTGAGTCTAATTCAAACAAGTTCCTAGCAGCAATCTCCCCAAGGTCGACATTCTTGTGCATCCTGCATGCAGCTAGAAGAGAACCCCAAACAACAAAGTCAGGCGTCACCTTCATTTCTTCTATCAAATTATATGCCTTGGCAAGGAAACCAGCACGTCCAAGAAGATCAACCATGCAAGCATAATGCTCCACTCCTGGTTGTATGCAATATCTAGGCTCCATGGCCTTAAACCAATACCACCCTTCATCCAGCAACCCAGCATGGCTACAAGCTGCTAGGACAGAGACAAAGGTAATATAATTTGGTTTTACCCCAGCTAAGTTCATCTCGTAAAATACTTGAAGGGCTTCCCTGGCTCTACCGTGCATACCATAACCTGCAATCAAGGCAGACCATGATTTCACATTCTTTTCCTTCATCCGATTGAATGCATTCCTCGCCATCCTTAATCTTCCACATTTGCAGTACATGTCAATCATGGACGTAGCCACATATACATTATCCTCTAGGTTCATTTTTATAACCTAAAGAGATCAAAGCCCAACAGACAACTAAGAACATCAATACAGTTAAAAAATAAGGAGTCAGAAAGAATGCAGCAGTTGTAAAGGTGGGTTAGTCCTGAAGTACCTGATCATGTATGCACTTGCCAGCCTGAAGAGCTCCTGAATGTGCACAAGCCAACAGCACGGCTGATAAGGTGACAGCATTGTAGTCAACCTCTCTATCCCACGCCAGGGAACGAAAAATTTCCAGTGCCTGAGATGAAAGTCCGTGCTGAGCATAAACTGCGATCATGGAATTCCATGAAATGATGTCCTTCGCAGGCATCACATCAAACATCTTCCTGGATAAATCAACCTCACCGCACTTAGCATAGGCATCAATTAACGTATTCCCAACTCCCAGGTCTTCATCGAATCCCCTTTTTGTGACAAAGCCATGGAGCCCTTGGGTAAGGGTCTTTCCTGAAACACGAGAACAAGCGGATAGCACGGAAACCATGGAAACCGAGTCAAGAGAAACTAGTTCCTCTGCTTGGCCCGCCAAGAGCTCTTTAAAAAGCGAGAGCGCTTCATGGGGTTGGTCATTTTGGACGTAGCCAGTTATCATGGAGGTCCAAGAAACAACATTCTTTTGAGGAATTTGATCAAACAGCTTTCGCGCATCAGCAAGTTGACCACACTTGGAGTACATATCAATGAGAGCGGAGGATACAAAAAGGTCGGTTTCATAACCAAAGATGAGAGCTTGTTGGTGGGTCTGCTTGCCGGAAGTGAGATCGGAAAGGGAGGAACAGGATTTGACGGCACATGGGAAGGTGGAACGGTTTGGTTTGAGAGAAAGCTTTCGCATGGAAGAGAAAGCTCGAAGGGCTTCGACGGAGTCACCGCTCCGAGCCAAGTCGGCAATGATAAAGTTCCACGAGAACACATCGGATTTGTCTAAGTATCTGTTGAAGAACTTGGCCAAGTTAGGATTTGTGGAATATTGGCGTCGACACAAGTAGGAGACTGTACAGAGTGGAGCCAAATTGGTATTCTTCATTCATTCATACAGTGGAAAGGGTTGCACTTGTGGCTTGGAACTGTTTAATTTGTATAACCAGTTCAAACGACTACTAATGTGGTTTGCAATTTTTGTTAGATAGTACTTAGTAGCAAAGGCGGAGCCACAATTTTAAATCTATGGGTTCTAGATTTTAGAACGACGAATTTAAGTGGTGATAACTGGATTCGGCCAAACCTATATTCGGACTTCTAACTCCGTCCCTGCTGCTTAGTAGTAGCGCCTAACCACGAATTGGGATTTGGGGGGTTTAAATCTTCCAAGCATAAACCTTTATAAGTAAAAGATCGCCAAGCATTACTAGCAAGTAAAAATCAATAATAGGAAAAGAAAGCTACTACAGAACAAACTCAGCCTGATTTTTTCAACAGCTTATTATAAAGCCACACCAGAAATGCCCTACAATATCAATAATTTAAAATGCTACAAACTGAAACAATAATCCACACCCGTGGTTCCAACTCAAACTCAGTTTCAGTATGCAGTTGGAGAAGTGGAATTAATTTTGCAAAAGAAATTGATAATCATCAAAAGTATCATCCAGTGATCTGACTCTGGTTGTAGAATACACATCCCGTGAATGCTTTGAAGAACTCCCTAATTAAAGCCAAAATACTTGAATTTTCTCAGTGATCTCAGCTGCCGAATAGAATAATTTACTACAGAAGCCTAAGATGTGCAGTATCGTTCATTCTCTTGATCTGCCATCCCAATTTCCAGGAATGCTGTAGCACCGTAACAGAAGAATCATCTATGCATATCTTACTTGACATCATTGCACTGCAGCCAAGGAGGGCAGTAAGAAGACACTTGATTGGGATTGAATGAGTAAAAATACCAATGCATTGAGAAACATTAGTAGTGATTTGCACATTTAAATCACGGATGGAGTTAGGATTAATGGGTTCTCGAGGTGACATCTCATCATCAGCCTCATGATCCCCAGTAGTTGTCACGATCTGAAGCCTACTCTTTCCAGACTTCTTCCTCGAAAGTCCTTGTCGGTTCCTGTGGTGCAAATCCCAATGAGACGATGAGAATGAAGGCGGCCCATCTCGGTCATGAACTGAATTGACAAGTGCATGAGAACCACGGTTTGAGAAAGCCTGGCTCTCACTCTGATCTGGTGGGGAGAAATCAGATCTGAATTTTTCAGGCAATGCCATAACAGTTCCATTTAGGAATTGTACCATCCGAAATTCCACCTGCCTCAGTGACTCTCCAGATGGTGCTGAAAAATCAGGCTGGAACCTTTCCATTAGACTAATTGTTTCAGGTGTAAATATATCCGAGCGGTGGCATCCCTCCCAATGCCCCTGACTCATTTCCAGTAGTGCATCAGAGGATTGTATACGTTCCTCTGAAAAGTTCAATTCCTGCACAGTTAACAGATGAATCCATACATTACCAAAATTACAAGGCCTTAACACAGCATGCTAATAATATGTTATACTAAATCGGTTATTAAAAAAAACATGTTACACTTAATCCCTGGGACTTAGCCAATTCAGGTGTTCTACTTACAGTCGAAATTTGCATCATCATCCCCATAGAAAACTTCATACTATGCATCACTAAGAATGGAAAAGATTCAACTTTTAAATCAATTTTAATACACATAACTAGATACAAGAGAGAGTAAGCTTTTATTGCAGAACTTAAAAAGTGAAGAAGCTCGACGTTGGGCTTCCTTGCAGCTTGCATAATTCTGAGATGTGATGCTAAACTACGGCTCAGCTGCTCTGAAAGAACAGCAACATAATCTTTGGATTTGCTAGTGGTCAAGGCAGTAAGAATGCTTTTGACACGCAAAGTCTGCTGAGAAGCCAATTATGGCTTTCACGACTACAGACTATGCAATTCTTCTTTGCGGTACTAATCTTGCTGTCCCTTTCGCTGATACACTATGCACAGGTATGATATTTTTAAAGCACTGTGTGGAAATGTAATATAGGATGATAATATAGTACACTCTACCTATCCCAGATAGATACAATTAGTTTCCCTTTTCTGTTTTCAATGATAGTATTTGTTTTCCTCCGGTATGAATCTTGTTAGTACTTTCTACTAGAGGAATTGGACTAACTTTTATCCCCAAAGTAACTGTTATCCCGAGATCATCTGAAACCAAAAGTTACCTTTTAATATGTTGTTTGGGCTCACCTTTGTTCAAACTCCTAGTAGTACGAAATTCCAACTACAAACTTGCCAAATCCAAACAACTGAGACAGTCACAGCCATATAAATCCTGAAACTAAAGCAACTAACAAATTCAAATGGTTTCTTTTAAAGCTGCATCACTATGCCTCCTGACAATTACTGGAGCACTATAAGAGGAAAACCTTACAAGTAACGAAAGGAAACATGCATCTGCCTAGAACTGATGAAGAAAAATCATGTTCTCCCACAGCTGATAATTGTATAACATATAGGACTTTACATCAATTGGTTGGTGAAGTGTTTCATTTTTTTTCCGGCCCACAAAAATAGGAATTTGGAAGCAAAGGGATATTATTTCTGACATTTCCAATCAAATCCAAAAGATCAGAGCTTAGTAGTTAGATAATCAATAGCAATCATAATCGGAGAAACTGACATTCACATAAAAGCAATCACAGGGACGAGAAAAGAATGAAGATACCTGGCAAACAGAGAGGGCAGTAGCTCGAGCCCGATCCAAGGGAGATGTATACATAGAATTGAAACGAATCCCTTGAGACTTGAGGAAAACAGCCAAAGCTCTGGCTTGGCGCTTACCATTAGGGGTAAGTGCAGCCTCGGGACATCGGCCGGCAATCAAATCAGGCCTTAAATTCATATGACACTCGCCATTACTAATCAAATAGACTTCGGTGAGGGTCCTATCGTCATCCACAGAATCAGAGGAGAAGGTGCGGTGGAAATGAGGGGGAGGCGGAAGTGGGGGCGGGGGAGCCAGGACATTATAAGGGTCCCACACCTTAATGGAAGGGCCCAAACGAGGGGTACCGAAAGAGGAGAGCTGAGGGGAGAGAGGAGATGCAGAGGCGTGGCAAGGTAACATCTCGGGCTCTTGTTCCAGAACCTTCTTGAGCAGAGTAGTATCGTCGTCACCACCTAATAATTGACGTCTCTCATCTGGGGTATCATTCTCCTCGTGCTCGCCATCTTCTTCTTCTTCATCTTCTTGCTCTTCATCTTCCTCAGAGGGTACGGCTACCGACTGAGAAGACCCCATTGATGATTACAATACTATCTGGATCTTTCCGATCTAGCTAGCAGGTATGTGGATCGTAGTTGTATTTAAGCTTTGCTTACAGACAGATAGACAAGAGTTTTATGAAAGAAACATAGGATTCAGCACACCGGACCTTATACAAAGATGTTTTCTTCTCAGTAAATTCCTCTGATTTGGACTTGGCCGCTTTTGGGGGTAAAAAGATGGAATCTTTTTGTTTTGTATTCTTCAATTTGGGAGCGGCAATAGGAGCTAGGAATAGGTAGATTTTCTGTGGTGTTGTCTTATTGTTTAGGAAAGAGAGGGATAACTCTATAACTTGATGTTAAATCCAGAAATGGGGCGAAGATGGGGTAAGGGGATCTGAGGAAGATGCAGAAGATAGATAGAAGCAGTTTTACATTTTCTGACAACATGTTAGGGGCATGGTAAAAATAGGAGGATGCGCAAACTTCGGCTAACAGATGCAATTGCTAATTAAGACCACTTATCATTATTACACTACTTGCTACTATTACTACTATATCTTTATATTTTGCCAGATCGAGTCAGGCCTTTCACTCAGCCAATTATATCGTAAAAATACCACGGCTAATCAGTTTTCGGATTGGTCATTCAAAAGCCGCCAGCATTTACAAAGTTATTAAAAAATAGTCACTATTTTGATGCAACACGAAAAGTTCCAGCATAATATACTGGAGATCGGTGCACCTCTGTATGAACTTCTAGCATATCATGCTGGAATTCCAACACGCGAAAAGTTCCAGCATAATATACCGGAGATTGGAGCACCTGTAAACTTCCAGCATATTATGCTGGATCGTGATATTATACTGACTCCAGTATAATATACTGGAGTTCCATTATACTTATGCTGGAACTCTAGTATATTATACTAGTGTTTACCGGATTTTGAACCGTATTTTCGTTCAGATTTAGCTTTACATGAAAAGTGGCTAAATTTCAATTACTTTTGAAACTGTGGTTATTTTTGAATGACCACTTGTAAATCTGGATATTTTTGAATTTCTATAGCCAATTATATCACATTCCTTCCTCTTTTTATGGGCACTGGTTTTTACCTCAGTCACAAACGTTTTCTACCGGTGTATTTCTTTTCGCAAATGATCAATTTTATTCCTCTCCTAGTAACTTTTTTCCCTAGATTAGATTGTGCAATTGTTTGTAGATTTTCTCCAATGCTTCTCATGTTTTAGTAATAAATCTTTTATGACAAATCATGAAAAAATTTACACAAATTATAGAACACTGAAAAGACTTTACACATGTTGAAAAAAGATAGGCTTTACATGTAATGTATTCATGCAATTAATAAACTCTTGGTTTTATAGCATGGTCAAAATTTTGTAGTAATTTGGACCATATTTGATCCAATTTTATAGTAATTTGGACCATAATCCACTAAAATTGGGATCGGATCTCCAATTCCAGTGGGAAAGAAGATCAGTAACATATTTTCTACCAAATAGGAATAAAACTTTTATTTTTTAAAAGATCAAAATTGCCCTCAATTTAAATTTACGTCCAATCAAAATTACAGCAATTAAAGCATCAATTTCCAGTTTAATTTTTTTGTAACACAATGCGAAAGCAAGTCAACATGTCTCTAGTAGCACAAATTTCGTTCAAGCTAAAAGTTATGCAATATTCAAGTTTCAAGCAATGGCAACAAGATGAGTAGCTTTGTGGTTTTAAATTTTAATTCAATACGTATCTATATTCTGCAACATAACATAACAATGTCAATTATAAGTCAAGAGGGACCTATTTCATACTATTTCAGTTAAGTTTATGATTAAACTTGGAGGTTCTAACATAATTGACCGTTCGGCACAAACTTAAGACAACCGCTAGCCCATTATATTTGATTACAAGTTATAGCCAAAAATTTATTGCATTGGCTACAACAAAACATTCGCTAACCCACCTTATCTTTTTCGTTCTGCCTCTTTGCTACGCCCAGCTCCACTATCCAAATAAATATCATAACCCATCATAAATATCAGCCTTTACTTTCTTAATTTGATAGTTCTTGTAGTAAGATTAATATTATATGCACTTAATAGATTTTATTTTTAGTCAAGATATGGTTACACAGGAAAACAAATTTGCTATACATGTCGGAGCGTTTTACTGTACATTACTCCATTGATAATGAAAACTTTTCAGTTGCCCAAAAAAAAAAAAAATTCTGTTTTTGCTTGTTTTGCATCTTTCCTTTTAAGAATTGTGAAGTACTCCTTTTTTTCTTTAGAAACTGAAAATTTTATTTATATAATGCTGTGAAAGTCCAAACATAGGATCCGTGGAGTATACTCCATTTGTTACAATTCTTAGATACGCTAACATACAATAAATAATTAAAAATCACAGTAAGATGCATCACATCAATTATGAAATGACTGATTTTACAAGTAAAAATAGCACGGTATAGCCAGTTTTCTGATTGGTCATTCAAAAATAGTCAATGTTTACGAAGTCAATGAAAAATAACCACTATTTTGTTGTAACAGATACCAGTCCAGCATAATATACTGGAGTTCGGTGCACCTGTGTATGAACTCCAACATATTATGCTGGACCGATATACTTTGCTGACTCCAGTATAATATACTGGAGACTGGAGCACCGGTGCTCCAAACTCCAGTATATTATACTGGACAATGATACTTGCTGGAGTTCAAGCATACTTATGTTGGAACTCCAGTATAATATATTAGCGTATTTTTCGGGGTTTGAACAGTGTTTTCGCTCAGATTTATCTTTACATGAAAAGTGGCTAAAATTCGATTATTTTTGAAACTGGGATATTTTTGAACGAACAGTTCTAAATCTGGCTATTGTTTGAATTTCTCCCAACATTGAGGGAAAACATGGACTGTTAAAATTTTAAGGGTTATAGAGGGTGAGCGGCCCATAACGCAGTTAGATTTAGCCCAGCCCAAAAATTAGAAAAGAAAGCGACATTACAAGTATATTAGGGCTTGCTAGGTATCGGAAGGAGCTGTCTTACAAAAAATGGCGTGCACCGTGGATTTTCGGTGCCTGGACGAAGGCTTCGGAGGGAAAACATACAAGCGAAAGAGAGCAGAGAAAGAGTTAGGAAATGGTACAGAAGATGGAGAAGCGGCCATGGAAGTAGAGGAGGAGAATCCAGTTCCAGCGTCAAAGAGACAGGCGGTTCCATCTGAGGAGGATCCAAACAAGCCGGTACTTGGAAGGCCGACGTACGACGGGGTGATCGCAGGGAGAGTATCAGGAAGGAATTGGAAACAGCCGCGGAAACACAGGTCATCGGCGGCGAAGGTGAGCGTGAAAGGGAAGCCGCTGGAGCAGAGGATAAAGGAGAAGGAGATAAAGAAGGCGTACAAGGAGAGGATGAATGAGCTCAAGGAAGAGATAAGGCAGAACAAGGTTGACAAGAGGAAGCAGAGGGAGGAAAGAGACAAGAGGAAGCAGGAAAACATTCTCAAGTCTGGGACTAAGGTTCAGAAGATCACCAATCCAAAGACTCTTAAAAAGATTGCAAAATCTAAGCAAAGGAAACAACTCAAGGTTGTTTCCGACGACCTTCTTAACAGTGGCAATAAGAATAAGAAGTCGACTTGATGCTTTAAAATTGTTTTCTTTTTGTTATGGGGGATATACTGATACTAGTAATCTAGTTTTCATCTATTGATTTTGGTCTTTCTCATTCGAGTTTTTGTAGTTGCGGATTTAATTGTTCAGTTATGCTGTAGCATTATGATTATTTTCTGCTTTGCTGTTGAGTGCGTCAATGCCATGCCTTACGTTGCATTCTCAGTTAATGTTATGTTATGATAGAAAAACGGGTCCTTACACAAATAACGAACAGAACATGCACTAAAATATTCTATCCAATTTATACTGGAAATGAGATTCTAAAATCACAATTCACAGTGCAACGATTTTAAGCAAGATGTTCCTAACTAAAGAAAATCAACAACGAAACAAAGTATTACTTGCAAAATCAACGTGTAATTTAAGAAAAGGTAAGGACAGCTCAGAGTATGGTCCCTTCTTTGCTCATTCCTTTAGATCATTAGGTATATGCAAATTTCAGTCATATTTGGCATGCACTTCCAATGGACGATGGTTAAAATGTTTGCAGTTCAGCTCTGAGTTCCCTGTGGTGGCTGTCACTAGCTTACACTCCAGGAGGAAGCTGCTTCAGGTGTTGAGCCCAAATCACTTGGTTCCTTCGTATTTGTGCATGTAAAAACATTAATTAGGTTCTACTCGAATAGATGCATCATATCAAGCCATTGGTTCATGCCTCAGATTTCACACAGACTAGATCATCCAGCTTATTGCCATCCATCTTATACAAAGACACACCTTCCATCTGAATATAGTGATTTCGTGCTTCCCCCCTCAAGCTCTCAAAAGGCATGACTTCCCATCGATTGTAATTTGATGACTTCCTGATATCTGTCATATCTTCAGAACCAGATGTAGGTCCAGTGCCATAGGGACCTGATTTGCCCCATACTTTACAGTTAACAAATTGTCCCAATACGCCCTCTTGCCCAGCTTGCTTCTTTTTCAGACGCAATGCAGCTCTGTGAGCGCTGTTTATCATTTCTCGACTAGGCACATCGGACCAGTCTTGCTTTCTCTTTGCTCGCATAGGAGAATGGATGCGTATGACCTAAAATATAAATTTTTAGTGAGAGCATTGAACAACAAATGAAGAAATTGAAAGTTGAACTGTAGCTGAAGTAATCCGATGTCCTTACTCCAAGGCATTCTAAGAGTTGGTAATATGCTCTCCCTTGGAGTGGGTTGTGCCCTTTCCTTGGTGTAGAAAAGTATCGAGTCCTAGAAAACAAAGTTTGTAATAACCACACAGAGATAACTTTTAATGGTCTTTAGATGTATGAAATGGCAGGGAAAAGTTAAGAAAGGGTAAAGTAGTTGGAATCCAAGTAGAGGTGTTGAATATTCCAGAAAGATGGCAATCTTTCACATCGGATAGAGATGCAAAAAGAAAACTTGAACGGAGTATTTCAAATGTGTATATGTTTTGTAACTAATAAAGCTGAAGTTACGAGGGAAAAGATGAGGAATAATAGAACATACCATTCTGTGTAACCAGGATCAACAGTGAAACCATAAATGTCAACAACGTCGCACATGGAAAGTGCTAGTTCTATTGATTTCATCCCAGTTCCTTTGGCACCTCTACGTAGTACGATACCTTGGAACAGATAGACTGGATTTCGGATTTTCTGTAATGAATAATGGAGGTCTGTCATTTTCTCAAATGAATATGGTATCATAAAGCATCAGAACCCACGCCACCTTATGAAATCATATTCCACCATGCCATGAAATTGTAGTTGGGCTTCTTTTATAATCATAATCAAGCACACATCTTTACAAGTCATTCATGGCCTAAAGAGGGTAAAACCACTGCCTCAAAATGTTGAAAATAAATAAACAAATC